CGGAATCGGGATTTGAAGGTTCCAACAGGTTCTTATGATGATTTTAGACTTGGGAGTATGTCCGGATTGGGTTTTGGATGACCCGGGAGCGTTTCGGCGCCTATTGTGGAAGTTAGCATTTTAGAAGAATTTCATAAATTTGGATTGAAGTGCATTTCAATGTTATTGACGTCCGTTTGGGATTCCGAGTCTGGGAATAGCTCCGTATGATGATTCTGGTATTGGGAGCGTGTCCGGAAGTGGATTCGGAGATCCGTAGGTCATTTTGGAGCCACTTGGCTGAAATTAGTAAATTGAAGGTTTTTGAGAAGTTTGATCGGAAGTGGACTTTTTGATATCGGGTCGGAATCCGATTCTTGAAGTTGGAGTAGGTCCGTAATGCCGAATATGACTTGTGTGCAAAATTTGAGGTCAATCGGACGTGATTTGATAGGTTTCGGCATCGAATGTAGAAGTCAGAAATTCTAAAGTTCATTAAGCTTGGAATGAGGTGCAATCATGAATTCGACGTTGTTTGATGTGATTTGAGGCCTCGAGCAGGTCCGCGTTATGTTTTAGAACTGGTTAGTATAATTGGACGGGGTCCCTGGGGCCTCGGGTGGATTCCGGGTGATTAACGGATCGAATTTGGAGTTTGAAGAAGAATTGAGGCTGCTGGCATCTGGTGTAACCGCACCTGCGATCTTTTGGCCGCAGGTGCGGAGCCGCAAAAGCGGCCTAGAAGTCGCAGAAGCGGAGCAGGGCCGCCCAGGTGAAGGACCGCATGTGTGGAGCCTTGACCGTATTTGCATAGGCGCGGAAGCAGAAATGAAGGCCGCAGAAGCGTGGGCGCAGGTGCGAAGGAGCGCTGCAGAAGCGGACACGCAGAAGCGGCAAGGAGTCCGCAGGTGCGGAAGTCGTGGGCTGAACGCATTAAATAGCGGGGTTTGGCCATTTTTGCCCATTTTCTCCATTCTTGGGAGATTTTTGGAGCTTCTTGAGAGGGGCTTCCATCTAGCAACCTGGAGTTTTGGAGCATTGGGCATCGGTTTGAGTAGTCGGAAGGGCTTGGGAGCCGGTTATGGAACTTCGGAGCGAGGTAAGTCTCCTTTCTAACCTTGTAAGAGGGAATTTACCCCATATGTGAAAATAAATCAATATGTGCTCCTATTTTTGGGGGCTACGTACGCACGAGGTTACGAGAGTCCGTGCGTAGCTACTATTGTGCTTAAGTTCGGGTAGTCTAGGACCCAAAAGCATGCTTTACTTGTAATATTTGAAATCTTGTCATCAATTTAAAATGCTTAAAACATATCGAACTTTGTAAATAAATTTCTAAAAGGCTAGGCATCGTTTTCTTGACTTTTAATAGAGAAATTGCCTTTTTCTTGGATAATTGCTCCTTGATGAATTCTAGATTGACTGTTTGAATGTGTTTATCTTTTGTGGAACGGGCCGAACGCCTCGGTAGATTAAATAGATGCATCTATGGTTCGCATCATTCGACCCTCTGGCAGTGCACAGTTTAAATATTATGTTGGATCGGGTCGTACGACCTCGACATGATTTGTGCATGCTTGTATTACTTGCCTTGAAATTTATAAATAATGATATTGCCTCCCTTGTTTGAGATAAATTGATAAATGATGAAATATGAATTTGGAGATCTCTTGTTACCAAAAGGAATGTTTACTTGCTTCATGATTTCTGTAAGTTTACCGCCGTTTTTAATAAATCCATGACTAATTTATACTATTGATGACCATATTAAGTGTTAGAGTCAACCTCTCGTCTCAACTTCTTCGAGATTAGACTGGATACTTACTGGGTACGCGTTGTTTTCGTACTCATACTACACTTGATGTACATTTTATTGTACATGCACATATATGTTCAGTGGCCTTGTGGGCGCAAAGGCGTGATTGATACGGGGACTTAGGTGGGTGCATCTTATGAGACGATCCGCAGCCAGCAGAGTCTCCTTCAGAGTACTTGTACTTTCCTTTCTGTCCAATTTGTATTCTGGACATTGTATGTTATTTTTACTTCCTAGTAGATGCTCATGCACTTGTGACATCGGGTTTTGGATGATTATGGGATTATTCAGTATTGAAATTTTCTAAAAATATTATTATTTTCTCTGTGAAGTTCATCAATTATTATTTAACTTATGGAAATTACGATTTCAAGAATACTAAAATGAGAACCAAGTTAATTGTTTATTGTTGGCTTACCTGACAGCGGTGTCCGGCGCCATCACGACCTTTGTTGGATTTTGGGTCGTGACACCGGTCCTTGAGGAATATCAACCCCCCAACGATCATGTGAATTACATTTTGCGGTTCTTCCTACTCGTTCTATCTGTTTGAATCTCTGTTTTTGAAGTGGTTCTTGGCTCGATCACTTAAGAATTCTCAAAGATGACCCTCAACTTTCTGCAATCTTCAGTTTTGTGACTGTGGGTACCATGGTATTTGCATATTTGGTTAGGGTTCCTTTGAGCTGGATTGGTCTGTAGGGGCCTTATATATATATATATATATATATATATATATATATATATATATATATATGGGCCATCTGGTATCCTTGATCCACCCAATGGCTAACACAATACCCGATGCATCGATGCTGAAGTTGTATTCTGATAGTCGCGGTGCTTCCATGGGCTCGACGTGTTTATCGAAACCACTTTTACTCATGAGCCCTCGAGAGCTCTGTCCTCGGTCATTTCGAACGAAATTCCATCCTGGGCCGCTGTTTTTACGATCTGCGCTGTATGGTTGGTACCAATCTCTGTTCGATCGGGGTTCTCTGTCGATGTCCCTTTGAATTCTGCCGACGGGCCTGTTTGAATAAACGGAACCGGAAAGGGTTCCCAATTGATCATCATCGACCCTGATCTTTGACTGGTGTCGATTATGTACATCGGCCAAGGTCACAGCTGGATATTCAATCAAATTCTGCTTTAGTTGTCGTGATGCTATCAAACTTCGCTCGTTCAAACCTTGAGTGAAATCTTGAACATCTCAATCATCTGTAACCGGGGTAGATCCATGCGTTCCATCTGAAACCGAGGCACGAATTCCCTTAACATTTCATTGTCCTTTTGTCTTACTTTGAAGAGGTCCGACTTTCTAGTCGCGGCCTTTATTGCTCTGGCGTGTGCTTTTACGAACGAATCTGCAAGCATGGTGAAGGAATCGATGTAATTGGGCGGTAAATTGTGGCACCATATCATCGCCCCTTTCGATAAAGTCTCTCGATTCAATCTCATCGTCTTCTAATTCATTCCCCTTTATTGCGGATGTATAAGAAGTAACATGCTCATTAGGATCGGTGGTCCCATTGTATTTGGGAATTTCTGGCATACGGAATTTCTTCGGGATGGGCATCGGAGCCGCACTTGGAGGGAAAGGCTTCTGCACGAACTTCTTCGAATCTAAACCCTTTAGAATCAGGGGTACCCCCGGTATTTTCTTTATAATGGCGGGGCAGTCCCCGACTCATTAGCGTTCGGTCTCTCCGGTACAGGCTCGGCTGTGTGAATAACTTCTTGTGATGTTTCGAGCTCAATTCTGGTTGGCGCTCGATTCTGATTTTGGAGTTGTGCTATCGCAGCTTGTTGATCTGCAACATCTCAAATATCATTCGAAGGCTAATTCCGCCTTCTTCACTGCTCTATGCATTTTGATCGGCTGCTCAAGCATCCCTGCAGATGCTATTCTCAGGGTTGACGCCCAAATTCCCATTGATGGCAATACGGGAGCTGACATCGACTGGATCTACGGCCGGCGGTCCGTCGGGGTTGACTGGAGGTACTTCGTTTCCCGGGACGACTATGTTTTCTTTCTTGCCATGAAGACCAAGGCCGTTGTCTGTGTGAGTGGGTGCTACTTGAGAGTTTGACATGTTGATTCCTGAAATCAAAGACACTTACGAGAACAAGCGTAAAGCGGTGTGTATTATGGGAATTAATACCAGGCAATCATTATTATCCTTAGCCCCACGGTGGGCGCCAAACTATTTACCCTAAAAACTAGATAACAATTAAACTTATAATGTGATTTTAAGGACACGTAATTTAACCTAATACCTATTGATAAATGTAAAGAGTAATAATAAAAATTAACAATAAAATTAAGTAAACCAATGTTTGAACGGAATTCATCCCTCGAGTTTGAATACCCTCGAACTGATCGATGCAAGAATAGTTAGAAATATAGCAATCTGATGACAAGAATATAAGCTAGAAAGATTGTATTGCTTTGATATGTGTCAATGTAAGGTGCTTACAAAATGATCAGGACCCTCTTTATATAGTAGAGGAATCCTATCTATGGTACGATTCTAATTATGGAAGTAAATTCCACGATTAGCATAAACAATCGCCCTTGATTTGATATGTTCCGGGATTTCCGCCGTGATCTTCGACCGGTCACAGATATCTCGCTTTTCCGTTATTGCGCTTTGCTCGAAGTCTGCCATATTTGGTCTCGATCATTGCTAGCCTCGATCTCGACAGGCACCTCGATCCTCGAACTCGATACCTTGTCTTCATGCTCTGGTCCGATCCACTACGACACTGGCCTTCGATGCAATTCCCTGGCCTCGATCAAATAGTAATATCGAGTAGGCCCGGTTTTAACCGTATACATTATTATTATTATTATTATTATTATTATTATTATTATTATTATTATTATTATTATTATTATTATTATTATTATTATTATTATTATTATTATTATTATTATTATTATTATTATTATATTATTATTATTATTATTATTATTATTATTATTATTATTATTATTATTATTATTATTATTATTATTATTATAGGCATTGCCGCAAGCATATCCAAAAATTGTCTCAATGGACATACTTCACGCAAATGCCATCTCAGTTAGCATATTCTATTAATTTTTTGAATTCCTTGGACCTCATCTTTTAACTATATAAATATTTAAATATTCTCTCATATTCTTCATATATACTATTCTCCTCTTTCTAAAAGCATGAATTTCTGTTACGTACCTATCAAAATGGCAAAATATTCCTCACTTCTCTTCTTCTTCCTCCTCCTAAACTCCCTCCAATATTTCCATGCATCGCCGGAATATTCCCGTCCTCATCCCCGTCCGGTTATCCTCACCGGTCATAACCGGCCCGAAACCGAGCCCGAACAGGTACTCAACAACAACATTTTAGTCACGTAACATCAAGTTTTATTTTACAATTTTTTTTGGGTTATTGAAAATTATAAGTATTGTTCTGTTTAACTATATGGGATTCGATCCACTGTTCTGATTAATTCGAATTCGAGCTAAGTAAGCCCACTAAGGGGATAAAACGCTCCCTACTGAAAAGTTCTGACCCGAAACTTTTTTTTTTTTTTGCAGGTACATATATCTTTAGTAGGCAACGATCACATGAGAGTAACATGGATTACATCTGATAAGCATGCGAAATCGATCGTGGAGTACGGGACATCGCCGGGGAACTACCAAAGCTCGTCGATGACCGGAGAACGTACGTCGTACCGATACTTTTTCTACAGCTCCGGCGAGATTCATCATGTTACTATTGGACCATTGGAGCCAAATACTACGTATTATTACAGATGTGGTGGTAGTGGGCCGGAGTTTAGCTTTAAAACACCACCTTCAACTTTTCCTATAGAATTTGCCGTCGCTGGTGAGTTTGTTGCAACTCTTTTACATTTTGCTTACGTTTTCTTTTTCATGCACTTTTGTATTTCCTTTAGTTTTAGTTTGTTAAAAAGAAAACATAAAGTTAATTAACTTTAGGAAGAGAAAAAGAAAAAGTTGTTTGTGTAACTTACAATGAAATAAAAAGGGATCTTTACACAAATAGCATGTCAGTGTCCGAGTAGATACTATTACTTTCTCTCAAACTATAGTACTATTATTTGATTAGGTTATCGAATCTTTTATTTCTCTTGAGATTCCTTCAATGTTCAGTTCTACACATATCTTTTTTCAGAATTAATGTTTACTTTTCCTAGTCGGTATACATATATAGATTATATACTGATTAACAGTTATACACGTATTATATATATAGATTACACATATATTATACATCTGTGACAATTTTTAGTTTAAGCGGTTAAGTTGACGGCTGTTTAGGTTAATTCTTCAAAAGAAAAGTTGTTTGTATAACATTATAATGAGAGTGTTTTTTATGTTTAATGGGTTGCTACCATTTATTTTTTCCTTTGTTTCCAACCAAACATTTAATTTTGATGCTATTTTCCTCCATTTTCTCCTCTTTCTCTTGTCCTGCTTTTTGATTCACTTCAACGTTTCTTTTCCTTTCCTTACTACACAAACAAAGGCTTAAAATATAGTTTTTCTTTTAATTTTTCTTTCTTGAATGGCTGAACAAATTAAACTTCACCCCTATTCTGTTACTAAATCGCTCGTAGCTTGCAAAATATTTTGATAATCTGTCGCTAAAATAGGATTAGCAGTAGATTTTTCTGCTTAATTAGGTACATAACTTGTTCGTTGTTAATTTTTTTTTTTTTTTTTAATTTTTTATAGTGAATTGTTTTAGGAGAAAATTTGATTCAACTAGCAATTTACTTGACAAGGAAGATCTGAATTTCCGCTGACACGAAATTAAAAATGTAATTAGTTTCAGATACATGCATATATTGACATTAAACTAATCTTTTGTTGACAAAGGGTACTACATTTAGGTTATAAGCAGATCTGTTAAACGAAAGTCAATACCAAAAGTCCAATTCCAGCTGAACGAAATAATTTACAACAAAACTAATTTTATCTTCTTTTAGTCTGATCAATTAAAAAATAATAATTTCCCCTTCTTTTTAGCTCTTAAGCTTTAACTTTGGATAATGATATTGTCAGACCAATTAGAAAAATATGTACTTGATCATAATAGTGTACTTTACGCATTGACAATTCTACTTTAATTTGGTACAGCAAATTTGCTCGCACTTTACGTAATCTCTTTTCACTAGTTGTTTATTTTTTTCCTTTCTTTTTGGTGCCACAAATTAACATAGCCCTTTAAACAAGTAAAAAAGTTAGTTCAAAATTTATTTGTGCCCATTTTTATGCAACCCAAAGATTAATTCACTACAAGAAAAACTCGAATTACATGGGGATTTTTTTCGCAGATAATTGCTGGGGATTTTGATGCGAAAATCTCAGAGTCCCTAAATTTTGAAATATTTACCTACAAACACGATTTTTCCAGGTAAATCCGCAAGTAAATTTGGCGCCATTTAGCGCCAATATATTACCTGGGGATTTATTTAGGAAAATAATTCCCAAGTATTATTTTCGTAGGTAATTCCGCAGGTAAGCAATAAAAAAATTGAAAATTTTATTTCATTTTTGAATTCGTAGAAGATTTCCCAGGTAACAATACTTGCGGATTTAGCTAGGGATTATTTCTTGAGAATTTACTTGGGGATATTATTTCTTTGGGAATTACCTGGGGATTTTCTATTGCGATATTAGTTGGGGATTATTTCTTGAGAATTTACCTAGGGATATTATTACCTAGGGAATTACCTGGGATTTTGTTGCTGCGATATTAGCTGGGGATAATTTCTTAAAAATTTACCTAGAAATTTTATTACCTAGGGAATTACCTGGAATTTTATTGTTGCAATTTAGCTGAAGGTTGTTTGTTGGGGATTTACTTGAAAGTTTTATTCCATAGGATTTTGTTGTTGTAATTTTAGCTAGGGATTGTTTCTTAGAAATTTACTTGAGATCATTTTATTATCTGAAAGTTTATTGTTGCATGTCTAGATGAAGCTATATTCTTGGAAATTTACCTGGGCAGAGGTAAATTATATCTTTTTGAAAGTTACAAAAACTAATGATTTATCTTTCACTATTGATTTTATCTATTTATTTAAAAGTAAATATAGTTAAAATTGTGATCCTATATAAAAGCTAATGATGTGATAAAAATTAAGTTACGTGTACAAACGTAACCATTTTATTTAACGTTCTATCTCCTACATATGTTAATTATTCACATTTAGTTAAAATGATGAAACTAAATTATAGTATTTAAATGATATTAGTTTGTATATTTTGGTATTGAGATTTAATTAGATATCAAGTGATTTTATGATTCTACCTGCAGACATCATCTCTTAATTGACCTAACATTATTGAAGCAACTTAATCTTATATATATTGTTAGAATCAGGGTAACAATTTTTACCAATTACGCAATCATATATAATGTGTTTATCTCCTGTTACTTTATATATTTTTTATTTAAGAAAAGAGATTAAATTTTTAATTAATTGTAATATAATCGTAATTTAGTTCACTTAGAAAAGAGTTTTCATTTACTTTTGGGAATCCTCATTTAAGACAACATTTCTTAAAAAATAAAATAAGAAAATAAGAGGAGAATATTAGTATTCCTAGAAATTAGAAACTAAGAGAGGAAATGATAATATGCGGTGACATTTTGTCCCACATTGGCCCAAGACATGGAGATTCTCCTATATTACCACGAGTCCCAACATGGTTAGTTGCAGTAGCCTTGAATGGATGGTGTGCTTTTCTAGAGATTTATATTATATTAATAATAATAATAATAATTAATAACGTGCAAGGATAATTTTTGATTTCCCAATATGGTTAGCTGCAGTGGTCTTTAATGGAAGGTGTGCTGTCCTAGAGATTAATATTATATTATTATTAATGTGCAAGGATAATTTCTGTTTATTAGAGAAATTGGGTACCATGACCGTCTAGGCAGTGGGTTGTTAGCTGCAGTTGTCTTTAATGGATGGTGGTTTGCTTTCCTAGAAATTTATATTATATTAAAAATGAAAATTTTTGGAATTTGTGGTCTTAAACAAGTTAAAAAGGAGCCCAGAGTATATGTGTGGTTGTAAACCCTTCTATTAAGGGTAGAGTTGTAAGTTTAAGTTAAAATTGTTTTCAAATTTAGAAAGGAATCATTCTTTTCGGAATAAACCAAAGAAGAAATAAATTCACATAAACTGGAACAGAGGGATTAATTAATAATGTGCAAGGATAATTTCTGATTATTAGAGAAATTGGGTACCATGACCGTCTAGTAAGTGGGTGGTTGTATATATATGCCTACATATAAATATACTAGGAAACTACAAATTATGTTATACAGAAGGCTGCCATAACAGTACTAATAATATCGATAAAAATTGACCAATAATTTTAATTTTCGTCTAAAAGTTCATGCATATTTTACTTGGGATTTACTTGCAGATGCTTTCCTATGAAAATTCGCAAGAAAAAAAATCCTTTTTTCATGAATTTTTACCGAAATTCTCATGCGAATAATTTATATGCGGATTCAAAATTCCCAGGTAACTTATCTGAGGATTTTAAATTCCGCACGTAATAATTAACCACGAAAGTTTTTCCATCGAATTTTTGTTTGAAGGAAAATCCGCTGGAAACTAAATTACCTGGGAATTTTCCTATATAACCGCCAGAAAAATTCCCATGTAATTCGTGATTTTCTTGTAGTGTAATGGAAGAAATGCTCTAAACTCCGGGCGTCATTTGGTTTAAGGGATTAAGTGGGTTATTCCGTGTTTGATTGAAGTTATTAGCTAAAATCAATATTATTCGTCCTTTAGAGATAGTGATCAAAAGGTTAAAATTCCAATGATAATATCGTGTTAACATTCAAATTACTACGTAGTTACTTCTATCTGCTATTTAATTAGTTCATTAGTCTTGCTCTCAAGGTGTTTTGATCACAAAATTTTGGTGTTTTGAATGTCTCATATATGACTTTCCATTTTTTCATGCTAACCTAACAAATTCTGATCACGAGATTTTCGTGTTTTAAAAAAATTATGACTTTTCATTTTGTCATGCTAACCTACTATAGATTTCTATCTTTTTTCCTTCATTCTACTTATAAATATCAATCTAACTAGGGATTTAAGTTAATCACATACACAGAGGCAGACCAGAATTTGAAGGTCGCGGATACACTTTTTGATTCAACTAAAATCTGCTTTGTATATAGGGTGTTCTCTATTAATATATCACTATTTTCTAAAGATATATACCTGTGCATGGAATTTTGCCGAACTTTACGGGTGCCGATGACCCCTCTACCTACTTCATACCTCTGCATATACTGATAGTATTAAAAATTTCTTACACTATCATCAAATTTTAACATAGTTGGGCTAGATCCCATATTTACAATGTTACCCATTGCGTAATACCTATCATAGACATACATTTACGAGTTTATTATATATCATTTTACACTATTAGGTCACCTTTAATTATCTGTTTTAGCAGGCAACCTGTCTTATTTTTTCAAGATTACAAACTCCATATTTTAAGGAGGCTTACTTGTAAATATCATTTGGTTCACCTAATAATAATATAAAAGAAATTTATACCGAAAGTGTATATATTTTATAAGTGATTTAATTGTATAAATATTCATTAATACTTATAGAACTTAAACTCTATCTGATATACATGTACTTGTGATTATATAGGGGACTTAGGTCAAACAGAATGGACAGCCTCAACTTTACAACATATAGGTGGAAAAGACTATGATGTCCTTTTGTTGCCTGGAGATTTATCCTATGCAGATACTCAACAACCACTTTGGGATTCATTTGGTAGATTAGTCGAGCCATATGCAAGCAAAAGACCATGGATGGTAACACAAGGAAATCACGAAATCGAAATTTTTCCAATTATTTATCCACATGGTTTTAAAGCCTATAATTCAAGATGGTTAATGCCATACCAAGAAAGTAGTTCCACATCAAACCTATACTATTCTTTTAATGTAGTAGGGTGTCATGTTGTCATGTTGGGTTCGTACACGGATTTCGATGCCGACTCGGATCAATACAAGTGGCTACAAGCTGACTTGGCGAAAGTCGATAGGGTAAAAACGCCGTGGATTTTCGCGCTTATTCATGCACCATGGTACAACTCTAATGCAGCTCATAAAGGAGAAGGTGAAAGTATGAGGAAATCTATGGAAGAAGTGTTGTACAAGGCTCGAGTTGATGTAGTCTTTGCAGGGCATGTACATGCATATGAACGTTTTGTAAGTACTAAGCTTCTCTTAATTTCTCTTAATTACTTCCACCGTCCCAATTACTACCAAAAATATAGGATTTAGAGACGGACAAATTTTGTAGCTAAATCAAAAAATTCGCTGTTAATGCTATTTAGCGACGAATTAGCGACAGATTATCAAAAAAAATTGTTAGCTGCGAGCGATTTAGCGACAGACTAGCGACGACGTTCGTAAGTAATTCCAGTTCTTTTAATAGCGAATTTATGTGATGGCGTTTGACGGACTTTATAAACGAAAGAAAGACTTTTGAAACTTGTATCCCATTAAAGGTAAAATGAGTATTTTTAAAGTTAAATAGTTACTAATATAGAAATATATCGTTCTTTTTGGAACTGGCTAAAAAGGAAAGATTGTCACATAAATTGGGACGAAGGGAGTAACATTTTTCTTGGCGTGTAGTTAGAATTAAATAGTTCACCTAATTGTTTATGAAATTAAATAGTTACATGTAGTTATGTTTTATATAATTTGATAAATTACAAAATTCGTTTATAATTTATATGTATAGAAACTAAACTCATATTGTTTTGTTTTGGGATATTACAGACTAGGGTATACAATAACAAGGCAGATCCATGTGGTCCTATTTACGTGACAATTGGAGATGGAGGAAACAGGGAAGGGCTTGCTATGATGTAAGTTCTCTGATTTTTGTTTATGTTAATTAATATACAAAAATAGATAAAAATCAAGGTCGAGATCAAGACTTAAAAAATATTTAATATTGATCTTGAGATCAATATGTTCTGGCATGTTACGGTTACTAATATGTACCACCAAGGAGTGTCGTGTGTTGGATTTGATTCTCCTCCACTTTTAACCAAAGATTTCGGTTCGAGCCCCGAGAGCGAAAATATCTCTAGTATGACGCGGTTTTCCTTTTACTAGATCCTATGCAAAGAAAATAGGAATTAATCGGGAAAGTGTGAAGAGTCGCACATCGATGGTGAGGGGATGGGTAGTCTCCTTATAAGGACTTGTAGGGAAATAACACGGAAGAATAACAATAATACTGCAATAATATTATTTGTAAGTAAATACACGAATTGGCTTGAATCGTGCTGGGCACTGTGCTAAGAAACTATTTCAGCATTGTGAAATATTTCCCCAGGATTAAACAAGCCTACCTCTATTTAAGAGGATACAGGAATCAGCAAAATAAAATTACAAACCCAGCTAGTAGGAAAAGGAAGTAAGAAAGGAAATAACTAATATTTAATAGTAGACAACAAGAAAGAAGAGAGGCGTAAAAGTAAATGAAAGAATGGATGTTTCTTCTGTGTTGAGGTTTGCTGAAGGAAGTCCCTTTTAATTATAGGCAACAAGCTGAAAGCTTTTCTTGCCATTTGTCAAGCTTAGTTGTCAAAAATATTGTATGCATCTTGCCAAAATATGGTATCAATTGTCACTCTTTATTGTTTGTAGGACACATGGACAAAATAAGTTATTTATCCATGATAGCTTTGAAATACTGCCACAGGACTTCGGCAATTCTCACCTAATTATAAGCTAGCTTTTAGGGTTGAGTTAGAACAAATGTATGTTTCTTTATCATGGTATCAGAGCTCGTGTGAAGAGTCTCATATTGGTGGTAAAGGGGATAGGCAGTCTTCTTATATGGACTTGGTCAATCCTCGCCTTATGAGCTAGCTTTTCGAGTTAATTAGGTCCAAGGTCCATTTCATTATCAGAAAGCAGGATACTAGATTGTTATAAAAGAAAAAACAAGTACTAATATATTACAAAAACATATAGTTTCACCAAAATTTTCTAGTTGGCTAACATGATTTACATTTTGTTTTTAACATTTTGAAGGTTTGAAAAACCAAGTCCATCAATATCAGTGTTTAGAGAGGCAAGCTTTGGACATGGTCGATTGAAGATATACAATGAAACACATGCACATTGGTCATGGCATAGAAACAATGACAAGAACTCAGTTATGGCTGATGAGTTGTGGCTTCAAAGTTTTGCTTCCTCTAAATCATGCTGTAAACAAGAAATCAAGACTCAAAAGGATGAACTCTAACAACAATAAATTTATTTAATATCTTCCAATACCTTTTTTTGGTAGTTGAATTTGATGTTTATAGAATTATATAAAGCATATCAGAATAACAAGTCATGAAGATTTATTTGTTTTTCCCCCCTTTTTTATTGGCTAGTTTTTGGACTGAAAGGGCAAGCAGAGGCGGATCCAGGATTTTAATTATATGGTTCAGCCTTTACGAATTCTTAGTATTGAACTTATTATATTTTTAAAGTTATGAGTCCATACCCACTATATATTTCAATTTTAGTGAATTTTTATACTAAATATATACTCCGTGTCGAAAGTACTGGGTTCAGATGAAAACGGTACTATAACACTACATACGCCTCTGGTAACAAGTTGTGTTATTATTATATGCTTAAGGTTAATCATTATAAAGATCTTTTTACACCATTACTAAATTGTAACATGTAATAACAAGTTAGTTACATATATTCTATGCTTAATTAGATTGGAATTATGCTTGCTATTTTCGAAATCGAACTGCGGACTAAATATTTCAATTTTTCTATTTCAATACAACAAGAAAGAGTTTATTACTATGATATAGTTAGAATATGAAAATTTGTTTCGATAACTAAGGTCTGTTCTTTCTTTTCCTGTTTTCTTTTTCAGTCAACCGCAGTAAGAAAATACATAACATATGTTCTTTTTAAAGTTTATTCTCTTGTTGTGGCTGCTAAGTTCTAACTAATGAATATCTTCGTCATGATTTTCGAATTCATTTTATGGCATCTCGAGGATATGTACATGAATTTATGGTTATATTTATTTTTTCGTGTGTATTAGTGCATGTTGATTTTGTTGAATTTTTTTGACGAACTCTGATTGACCTAAAATTTTGTAGGTCCATAGGAAACGGCCTAGTGACCATTATTCATCTCTTTGCCATGACTTTCATGTTAAATTTTTGGTGTTTTAGTGTCATACAACACGAACTTGTGATTTTATTTACTTTTTCGTGTGTATTAGTTCATGCTAATTTGTAGAATTTCTTTGACGGACTCCGATTGGCAAAAAATTTCGAAGCTCCATAACAAACAACCTACTGACTAATACTCATTGCTTCGCCATAGCGTTCGGGTTTATTTTTTGATATTCTGGGATCATGCAACACAAATTCATGATTATACCTATTTTTATGTGTATTAATATATGCTGATTTAATAAATTTATTTTGATAGACTCCAATTGGCCTGAATTTTTATAGGTCCGTAAGAAACAACCTAGTGACTAATACGCATTGCTTCGCCACGACTTTCGACTTTATTTTATAGTGTTTGGGGTCAAACGAACTTATGATTATATCCACTTTTTTGTGTGTATTTGTAAATGCTAACTCTATAGAATTTTCTTGACGGACTCTGATTAGCCTGAAATTTCGTAGGTCCATAGGAAACAGCCTAGTGACCAATACTCACTGCTTCGCTACGACTTTCGTGTTCTTTTTATGATATTTCGAGTTCAGGCAGCATGAATTTATGATTATATTCACTTTTTCATGTGTATTAGTGTTGGGTTTAAGCTTGTTAGAGCTTAAAATAGAGTGAATGGGAAACGGAGAGAAAATAAATTTTTTGAATTTTCTTCTTTGACAAAGGGACATTGTCCTATATTGGAGGAGGAAGAGAGTTTTTATGGGTATATATAAAATTGCACTTCTTCTAGCTCTTAAAGAGTTGAGAAGAAGGCAAGCCTCGCGAACCTCGCGCCATCGTCGTCGTCCCTCAGCTTCAGCTTTGGCTTCGGAAATGTGATTGTCGTTTATTAGTTAACGTAATATTAGTTTAATCCAAATTGCCGTTTTTTATAACGCTAAATTGTTTTCCTTCGTTTTGAATTTCCCGTTAGAATTTAAATTTGGCGGTTTGCGTAAATGACTGTTTTGTAAAACAGTCATTTTGAGTTGCAGCTTTACATGAAGAGTTGCAACTCTTCGGTATTGCCCAATATTTTGGCTATAAATACATGATCTTTCCCTCAGATTTTCCTTACGAAAATTCTGATTTCTCCTTCTTCCTTCTGCATTATTTTTTAACAGAAAGAAAGCGGTACGTGTGATTTGCTATCTTTGAGTTCGTTGGTCACTGGGCTTTGAAGTACCGCTACACCAATGAGGGTAATTCGTTTTATCCTGAGAGGAAATAATCCTAAACCTCGGGTACTAGGTGGAATTAAGTTCCTTAAGGAAACATTGTGAATTCAGTGGGTTCTGATTAATTTTATGTTTCTTCCACATTTCTAGTTTTACGTTGCTACTGGTTTTTTTGAATATACATTAATACAGATTACTAACAATTAGTACTTGCGGATTTTGTAGAATAGTTTTGACGGATTCCGATTGGCCTGAAATTTTGAAGGTCCATAGGAAACGATCTAGTGACCACTAGTCATTCCTATTTTAGGGTCCCAAAATGCCAAAATACGAGGAACAGTCATGGCGAAGCAATGACTATTGTTCATTAGGTCGTTTATGATGGGCTCAAAAAAATTAGGTGATTCGGAGCCTGTCACACGAATTCATGAAGATGGCATGGACTAATGCACACGAAAAATTAAAAATTGTCCTAAATTTCTGTATTGTGGACATGAAACGCCTTAAAACGAGGAACTGTCATTGCGAAGCAATGACTATTGTTCATTAGGTGATTTCTTTTGGGCCCACCAAATTTTAGGCGATTTGGATCCCGTCACCCGAATTTATGAAGATGGCGTGGATATTAGCACATGAAAAATTGAAAAGCATCATGAACATGAATTACTTTTTTACGGCCCTAAAATGCCAAAATCGAGAAATGATCATGGCGAAACAATGACTTTATTCATTAGGCCATTTCTAACGGCCCACAAAACTTCATCAATTGGGCATTGATTTCCTAAAGCGCAACTTGTCCGTTTTCTTCTCTGTTGTGATCGTTTCTTCTTTAATAAGGTAGCTATTTTACGTTGGATTCATGCGACAACAAGGTGAAATGTTCGATTGAGAACTTCTCTTAAGCTTTACAATAATGTATGCACAGCAAAGTAATGTCCAACTTCTTACCAAGAAAATTTCCCTGGACTTCAGGCATAATGCTGTATGGTGGTCCGGGCCCGGGCCTAAATGTGCTAAACGAGCCGGGCTAAACGGGCCGGGCTTAGCGGTCTCGGGCTCTGGCGGTCCCGGGCTTCGTGGGCTCAACGGGTGGAACCAGCCCGTGACTGGCCTAAGCCCATATAGTCCTGGGCTAAATGGGCCGGGCTCGTGGGCTTAGCGGGCCTAACAGGCTTTTTTATTTCCGGGCTTTTTTTTTTAATTTTTTTTTTGTTTAAGGCAATTTCTTGGAAACCATATATGTATGTATATATATAAATTGCTCTTATACATGGCTATATAAATATATGTAGTATATATAATATAGAAATCTAATTATTAAAGTGCTTGACGAAAAAGTAAAATAACAAAACAATAGTAAAACTAAATTGGCATGCATAATAAATTAATAACAAAGTACAACATAAAGCATAAATACATCTAATAATTTTAAAATAACACAAATTGTTGAAAAATCTTAAAGACGAATTTGCGGATAAATACCCTCAACACAATATTTTATATGCCTCCTTAAAATGCCTGTGGTACACCCTGAACGAAAATTTAAGACTCTTCCATAGTTCTTGCACTTTAATATTTGGCCTTCTTCATTTTCTTCAAGCACTTCAAAGTATTGCGAAACAAATAAGCGCACTCTTTCCGAACGAGGCATGATTTAACTTGAAATTTCAGATTGAGACTTGAAGCCTTGAAAATTGGAGATTGAGAGATTGAGAGAAATTTAAATTGAGAAATGAGTATTGAGTACTGAAATGAAGAAGAGGGAGGGGGGTACTTATAGTGTTAGAGAAGGTTAGTTTTGTAAATTTAAAAAAAACGGCTATTTGTGCAATTAATATGACCGTTGGTGGTCATTGGGGGTGGGGCCCTCATTTTGAAAAATCTTGTTTTGTAAATGTTTTGTTAATATATATATATATATATATATAATATATATATATATATATATATATATATATATATAATATATATATATATATATATATAGTATGTTATGTATATATATTTCCAAATATAATTTCTTGTAATGTTTTGTAGTATATATAGTATGTTATGTATATATATTTCCTTATAAAGAATTGCAAGTTAAAGGCAAAAAGAATATTGCAAAGAGATATTCAAGGGAATGTCTTATAATTTTTATTACCAAAAATGGCATATCTTTCTTAGTCTTCTTCCCCCCAATGGAATGAGCACAACAAGGTGCTAATACCACCATTAAAAGGAAAAAAAACTAAAGAAAATGTGCCAAAGTACAAGTTACACCATAATCTACATTGTATCTCTAACAAATCTCATAAATCCTTCAAGGTTCGGAGGAGGTTCCATTGGTGGTGGCGGAAAAGAAGCTTGTTCATCACCGCTTCCGGGCGAAGCAGCATCCTCCGCAAGTTCCTCTATCATTTCTTCATAAGCTTCGTCTATCTCCGGTTGATTCTGCAAGTCCAAAGTTTCTTCTTTCGAGCGGATCCAATCTCTGAATAGTACTGATTTTTCCAAGCTCTCCCTCATAGACGCTCTATGATCACCTATTTGAAGTCTTGCTTGACTGAAAGCGCTCTCTGATGCAACTGTTGAAGCTTGAATAGATAAAATATCCCGAGCCATCCTTGCAAGAACCGGAAAATATTTTTCCCTTGCCTTCCACCATTCCAAAAGATCAAAGGTGCCGTCTGGATTCTCCTTTTCAAGTCCATGCGACAAATAAACTGAAGCTCATTTAGATGTGAAGTCTCATCAAAACTATCACCTGAGAACCCCTAAACTCCGTCCAAGATTTAAGTGCTTTTAGGCCCGCAGCTTTTTTAGACGATTGTGAACTAGACGAAGTAGGGGTTGGAACATTTGGCCTAGCATGATCTAACACAAGTTGATAAGCATTTATAAAATGTTTGAGCATTTATTTTAATTGAGGCTTTCGCCTCTGCAAGTGTAGAAAATTCCTCAATTGAAAGATCTAAAGCCTTATAAATATTGAGTACCGAAAGTGAGGACCTCC